TCCCCAAAACCCCAAAACCCCAAAACCCCATAAAGGAGAAGATATTTGAAACATAAATAAACTTTATAATCATTCCCAATGGACTTTTGCTTCTCAAGCTCCCAATCAAGTCTGTTTTCAGACTCTGCTTCACTACTTCAGGATGTAAGCCTTCTTTTTGAGACTCTTCGTTTGCTCATAGAAATTTGAAGGCTAGGTTTTGATTGACGGCTGATGCCGCATTAGATTTACTGTGTTGTCAATTCTTTGTTCTAATTCTAGTTTTTATTAATTATGGTTTAGGAAGCAAGTGTACAAAATAACGAAGAGCAAATTTTAACTTGGCTGAGACCTTCTGATGAATCTGCTCAATTAACTTCGCCTACACTGTTTAATCAATTTATGAATGATGAGCATGAGTTTGATTCTACAATCTTCTCGAAAGATTATTATTCTCATAACTTATTTGGAGCAGTTCCTTATCAAGAATCTGAACTAGAGCGTCAAATTCAAAAATCTAAACCTGTCATTGAAAATTTGGATTTGACAGTAAAAGAGAAGTCTGCTCCGATAAACTATCAGAGGCCAGACATCTCCAACAGGAAAATGTTGAGGCTTGTTAAGAAGTTCTTCAACGAGTTGTTTCTGTTCCATAACGACAAACTTAGAAACAGACGACTCACCACTGTGCACTCCTCTGTTACTTTGGAAGCTCTCAGGCAGTTGGTCAGAGTGTACATGCCAGATGTTTCAGCAGAGTTTATGGCTGAATTTCTGTTTAACTTCTTGAACATACATTCAAAAGATTCATGTCAGTTAGAGTCGGATGCTGCAGAGCAAGGATTTCGAGTGTATCAATGCTCGTACAATTACAGAAGACAAGAATTCATACTTCTACCTGAATGTGAGTATTTCAGATATTTGATAATATCTTACATTAACTTGAAGAACACTTCTTTGTCATCACTGCTGAGTCTTCGGTTAGATTATGTTTGGGAGAATCAGTTCCATACATCTGAAGCAAAGCTGGTTAAAATCCTGAGCAAGTCATTATACAAGAAAGGAGAAGCCCTAGTTGAAGAGAGTCTGCAAAGAACATATGAAGAATGATATCAGACAAGAGAAACTAGAACCGATTAATATTAGCTTTCATCAATAAAATTTTTAAGACAATAATTCTTCTTCCTTATTTTAAATTTAAGCTCCAAGCCTACTTAAGTTTTAAGCCAGATATTTCAGGTGTACCTATTTCCCTGAAGCAAGATGATTCGTTGAGCTTTAAAACTCTTTGTTATATAGCCATCTGCTTGACATATCACTAAATCGGAAACTTTTGGGGATGCAAAAATTATTTATGAAAATTAGTACATTTGCTGTTGGTCTCAATATTTAATTGTTCAATACAGAGGGCAAAATAATATGTTAAAATTAACTTCAGACTTTGACTTTATTATAGCAAACTCACTAGTTTTAAGAAATATCAGTCATTCAGCTTTCAATCGTTATAGACATCTTTTCACATTGGCCTGAGTCTCTGAAATCTTTTAAATTGTTGTAAGGAGCGATAATGATACAGTTCATGAATGTTTACCATTAACAAATTTTAATCCTTATTTTGTAATACTTGTGAAAAGAGGATTTTTAATTAACTGTACTTTTTCAGAAAATTAACTGGCTTGGGCTGCTCTGAAATTGGTATTTCTGGAATTCCGTTAGGCTATTCACATTTTATGTGTATAAGACTTCAGAATTTTCTTATTTCGAAGTTAAGAGATTATGTTGATTTCTTCAATCCAAAATTTTCCTTAATTTCTGACTGCCAAATGCTGAACTCAGAAGCAGCTATTATTCTGGTAGCTGTCAAAGATACAGTCTATTGTGTGTCTTTAGGATAGCTTATTTTCTACTGGGTTTAGTCTATTTCGTCAACCTTACATCAAAGGCCTTGACAGTTCATATTAACACTTTGAGAAATTAACTGCCCCATTTGCACAATATTATTTCTGTTTGAAGAATTTTATTAAATTTCCATTAAACGAATTTGTCTGTTAAGAGTGTTAAACACTTTCTGAGATGGGGACAATTGGAAAGAAAGAGCATGATAGATTGATGCTTCACATCCATTATTTCAGACATTAAGAGTATCTACGGGTTAGGCCTGATAGCTTAGATTTATACTAAAGTTGAGCCTTACTATTGACTTTAGATTCTTTTAAAATCTCAAATTTTTATAAGACTTATAATTCAAGGTTTCTAGAAATTAGAAACTCTCTTCTACTGAAGAAGCTAGGCACAGGCTGTAAAACCTATTAAACAAAGTACAAATAATCTAAAAAATACTCTAAACTTGATTAGCCGTCACTTTCTGTTCAAGATCCACTATAAAAATATTCAACTTTTTACTCTGTTTCGGTCTTTGGTGCTGTTAAGATTTCTAAATCATAGTTTTATCGTGCACTCGAGCAATGAATCAGAGTTAATATTTCTAAGTAAAAATGATCAATAAGACATCCTCCTTTGTGTCCATGATCAACTAGGTAGACTAGGAATACATCCATTCTCAGGAAGGTTTTTCTTAGTATTAGACCAATAAAATTTCAAAATAATTCCAGTTGATACACTTACTGCAGATCAGGTGGTTTATGGATGATCAGATGGTTTATTCCCGCCAGGTGGTTTATTCCAATTCAGGAATCTAAACACAATTATAAACTCTGTGGTGATTGCAAGAAATAGTATCGTGGGATATTTAGGATAAGCTATACCCCTGTTTAACTTAGCTACAATTGGTGCAGTTAATTTTTATGTCTTACAAAATGAGTAAATTTCACTCGATTTTAGTCGATAGACTCAGTCTGATGAATGAAGAAATGGAAAGCTAGTTCTTAATTCAAATTTTCGCCATTAGAGATCTCTAATATCATCTATAATCATAGAATTTTAGCAGGGCATTTTAGAGCTAAAAGTTGATCTTCTTTAGCAAAATTAAAATTTAATTTATCAAGAGAGAATTATAAGTCAAACGATTAATGCTCGAATGCCCTCTCTTTATATTCGGCTCATCCTGTTATTACTAAACAAACCCCATTTAGTAAGGTTGGCCATCCTATCTTTTAAGAAAGACAAAAAGCGTTATTGAAGAGAAGTTATTAAAATGTGACAAAGGTGCACTTAATTTTTGCAAACTAAACTAATCCTCATATTCCAAAAGCAAAAGATATACTTGTTTTCTCCCTTCCCAAACGTCAAGTATGACTGAAATGTGTCCGAATAGATCAACTCGGATGCTCTTTTACAGTCAAGTAAGGAGGCTTCCAATAATATGTTCTTAAATTACTGTAGAGATTCGGTGCTGAAGACACTGATGAGAGCAAGAGCAGCCCATTACCCATAAAGATGCTGTAGAGTCTTATAGAACTTCTAGCAATGTCTTCATCATATTTAACAAAGCATCTTGCTTGCACTTGAATAGGGGCACTTAATTTAGACATCCCAAGAAAACAATTTAAGAAAAATTTATGTAAACCAAGTGAAATAACTCTTTGGATCATCTATTTATTTAGAGAAATTTAAACCATTTATTTTGTTTCAACTTGCCACTGACTGTCTGGGGTTTTGGGGTTTTGGGGTTTTGGGG